GACCAGTTACTCTGTTAGCAGGAAAAAAATTCATCACTCATTAAATACATGGCGAGCATAACTATACATAATAATTTTGGATGCAATGCAGTCTTACAAATGTAATGTACACACTTTATTTAAATGATGCAAACAGCCATATGAAATTGCACATGATTAGAAAACAGGATGAATTCATTTTGCCTCCTGCTTGGTTTCTCATAAACATAAATACATCATATTGTTATGCACTGTTGTTCATAGATGTCTTTTTGCGTAAAGGGTAAGTACCATATTACCTTAACAGATTATTTTTGGAATTCTGCATGTTGTTTTTTGTTTCATCGGATATGTGCCCCAATTAAGTTGCTTTAAAAAAAAAAGATGAAGTTATTAGAAAATCTGTCATGTTAATTTTGAGAAAATATTGAAGTGTAGTACATATTACTAGATAGGATGTCATTCCACTGGTCTATATTTTAAAACAAAAATGTTCTTGAAAACTGAAGCATTACCTTGTGTAATTAATAAAGTACATCACTTCAGATTTGTAAATAAAATATTGTTTAAATCTAAAGTATCCAATATTTTGATTAGATTATTTTTTTAAGAAAAAATATTTCACGTGTATGTGCTGAATTTTTTTAAATAGTTTTTTATAATTGCAATGGAAGGGCAATTGTCTCAGTATAAGTGGTACAGAAGCCAGTCCTTGGGTTACCATAGATATAGGAACAAGTGAAAACTGTGGAACACGTTTTAAGCTCACTTTGGAAAAAAAACACCAAACAGTTCTGTAGAAATGCATATTTGTATTTGTTTCTCTAATAAATCTGCAAATAGCTTTAAACCCAAATTAGTTTTAATTATTTAAATGATGGTTCTGTTAAATAATTTAACACCTGTTTTGCCTTGCATTTTGTGAAAACATTGTCTCGTGGAAATTAATAGAGGTGCATTGTGCAAATCAAGGTAGGTCTGCATTTATCGGAAAAGTTTAGGTAGTCAACATTTAAGTTTGTTTACTCCTGTGGGATGAGTTAGGAATATGGAAAATGGCATTTTCACCACCACCACCCCAAAAATGACATCAGGTCAACTACTGCCCCAGCCAATAAAGGACTTGTTTGTATTTGTCAATGTCAAATAAAACAGCGTAACTTTAAAGTCATTCGTTCAAATGGTTGATAGTCCAGAGATGATTTGAAACAGGTAATTGACTTCTTTATATATCACAGTGAAGAAAGACTCAAACCTTGGTGTCTCACCTCTAATGTGATTTACACGTTATGCTTAGATATTATCTAACTATGACTATATTTCCTTGAATTGTGACTTTTTAAAATCATGTATCTTACAGTTATTTTAGGATGAAATAGAGCCCTCTATTTGTCACTGAACACTATAAAGCTCCCCATTTTATAGAAACATGCTGTGTAGAGAATACGTATCCCAGAGTAAAGTTGAATGCGTATCCTCTCTTTTTAAGTTATCATTCTGCTTGAGCAGAGAAAATATGCTAAGCTTTGGCTGAGAGGTACAATTAAATGCCCTGATCCTACAAAGAGCATTTAAATTATAATGAGTCTTTGGAATTATCCAATGTTTTTTATTAGTAAACTCTTTTATAGATCTGGCTTATGAAAACTTTATCTAATACTGGGAGTGGAGTATATCCAATTGTGTAGCTTTTGTCCAATTACAAAATATACTGTTGTCAGAATTGAGAATGATGAAAAATTATATACTTTATTTTTCCTTAAAGTACTTTCATAACCTGAATTTCAGAACAGTGGTTTGTCAATATTTCCATTCTTTTGGGTTTATTTCTAAATATTGAGATACAACAAGTTTTTAATAGGCTAACTAATGTGCTTAAAATATTTTAATATGCTTACCCAAACAAGTTAGATTTGATTATCCTAAGGGATTTCCATATTTTAGATCATTTACTCTATACATAAATGTTAGGGAAAAAATCAGTAAAGGAAGCCCACAGGCGTATAATAAACCCATGCCGAAATTGCATTGCAAAATAAACCATTACTCTCAGGGTTAAAAATATAGATGTGATTTGAATTTTAACTTTAAAAGTTAAAGAAAATTCAGGGATACAAACAAACCTATCTCATTTCAAAAATAATTAAAATCCAATTAGTTTAAAATAATTAAAAAATAATTAAAATCCAATTGAACCTAGTAAATATTTCATACTTTCCAAAATTTTGCTAGAATAAATACTGCATTCACTATTTAACGCTATACAACATTTATTTTCCAGGGATTTGCATACCTACTAGACAATATGTGCTAATCAAGTCACTTCTGAGAGCTGTCTTCCCATTTGTGTCTTGATGACAGGTTTGGGGTGTTCGCATACCTGCAGGTACAATGAGGTTAGAGGTGATTCTCAGGACTATTTGCATTCAAACAGCTACTCGGCTTTTTGTTGTTGTTTTTAACTGATTTGGAATACCAAATTCTCAGCTTTATTTATTACATTTTCTTATGCCATTAAAGAGAAAACTTCTGAGGTTGAATTATTATGAAGTTTGACTTCGTGTCTTACAGAAAATGTTACCTCTATATATGCTATGGATAGTTCATCTAAATTAGAAAAGAGTACAAAGCCTATTTATTTTTCACCTTCAAATTACTGAAGCTGTGGTATCTATATCTTTTAGCAGGTAGCTAAATAGAATAATTCCGTATTTTCTTTAAAATGCGGTTACAAATTCAAGCTTTAAATAATTGCAAATGCAGTGGTTTTATTTAACATTGAAGTACTTACATTCAGTGTATTCTAAAAATTTTAACTATGTCTCCTATAAGAGTTGTTATTTAAGGCAATGTAATTGAATAGTTTCCAGAAATAAATAATGGGTAACTCTTAGTTGACATTTCGGTTTGTTTTTATTTTATTTTTACCTATTTTATAGTAATTTTCTTTTGATATTAAAGCTATTTCAAGATTTTATATATTGTGATTATAATGATAAATATTCTTTTGGCTTTGGTTTTTAACTTTCTGGATAGAATGCTCCATACTGGTGGCTCCAATCACCAATATGCTTAAAAATAACTGATGTGTAAACTGTGGATTTTAGGAATTAGATTACAGGTGAATCCCTTCTTCGTGAGCAAGGTTAGATTAATTTCAATATCTAGCTTGGACAAAGAGGAAAGAAAGCTGATACAAGAAGGCAAAGCACTGGAGAACCAGAGTCCTTCGAAGAGTGACAGAATAACCAAGCCAAAGAGACCTGAGGCACCCATTGTATCTCCTTAGGACGTCTGGGCCGTGAACAGTGACAAAAGTTATCTCTGTGCATGTTTCTATTTTCTGGGTTTGTCATAGCTTGAATATTGCTTTCAAGGCAAGACTATCATTGGTGGGTTTCCTTAGGATTAGTGGTAACCAAAGTTACCCACTAATGGGTAATGAAATAGCCATTAAAATTGTGTTATTACATTGTATCTGTAATGCTATCCTGAGCATCCTGATGGCATCGTCCTTAAGTGCTTGTCTGCTAACTGAAATGTTGCTGGTGTGGATCCACCAGTTACCCCATGGGAGAAAGGTTGTAGCAATTTGTTTCATCAGGTACAGCTTGGAAACCCTGAAGGACAATTCTGCTCTGTCCCATATAGAGTGGCTATGACTCAGAATCAACTCAACATAAAATACTTTAGAGCTGAACACAAACTTTTTGGTTATTTTCTTTTTCATTCCTACCTACATCATTTTTTTTTGAGAGGAAGAAATCAGGCAGGGATTCTTCCAAAATTTTCTTTTTGAAGGATATTATATCCAGTGGCACAGAATTGATATAAAAATAGAAAGCTCAGATGCAAGATTCTTATTTTTCTTTATAATAGGTCACATTTAACTGGAATAATATATTTTACATATGTCCTAACTCTAGTTTGAGGGTAAACTATTTTTACTAACAATGAGATGACCATCACTTGCCTGTGATAACACAGTAAGTCTAACATAATTAAACTTATCACAACTCATCACCCCATTGCCATTAAAGCTGAGATATGTTTTAAAGTTGAAATTCTCAGGCTTTTGATGATTTTTTTAAGACACTCAAACTCAATCCTTGCTCATAGTAATCCAGAAGGACAGAAGAGAGCTGCACTCTGGGTTTCCAAGACTGTAAAGCTTTCTAGGTGCAGAAAGCCTCACCTTTCTCCTCTGAAGTGAGTGGCTGGTGTGTTGCAGTTGCTAACCCTGCAGTTAACAGTCTGACTGGTAACCCATTAGGGGATCATGACTCTCCTTTTAATAGACAGTAGATAAAAAAATCTCAAATATCACTAGGAAAAATATTTTCACAAATTATTCCCCAATATATGATGCGATTATGACTGCTTATATATATATATAGTGTCTTTTACCACATAAGATGCACACTAATTTTTTTAATTTGTATTTTAATTTGTAGGTCTTATTTTTCTATTTTGTATAGATTATGAAGTGATATAAAGTGATTCTCAAGCCACTGAGATAAAATGACTAAAGTGGTTTATCCTACTTTCCTATGAGCATAAAGATTTCAAATTTTAAATGAAACCGTGTTTCTGTTTGAAATAATAAATGTGCATCTCTTCATCTGTCCAATGCATGATTGATTATCTGACCCTAGAGAAGTTACTGCGTTTTATTTTGAGTGCTCACAAAATTGAAGATACCACATGATTTTTCTAAATGCCAATGTTGCTCTTTTACACGTTCTCAAACTATTGAATCATGTTTATCATGGAGAAGAATACAGTAATGAAAATAGTGATGACATTTTCAAACTTTCAAAAGAGAAAAATGAATTATTACTCATTCACAAAATGTTTTAAATGTATTCATGAATACACAGTTTGAAAACCAAACCAATTTTAAGCAAGCCACGGGAATTTTAAGTGGACATCTTAGAATACACTTGGAAAAACAAATGATCTCCCAAAATGTACATGGTATGAATCATTTCTTTCAAGCTAGACTAGGATCTACCAAGTACATGGCTTCTAGGCAGTTCTGTTTGGGATCTACATTTTCAAATATCCTTTCATAAGAAACATTTAGTCACAAATTATTTTTAATTTACTCAATTCTTGAGTGCACTGCGATGTACATCTAAATGTATTTTAAAAATTATCAAACCCTTATAATGTTCTTAGAGATCACAGGTTCCCAAACCTATTTGCCCAAATACCCCATTTAAAAAAATTAGCATGCCTCTGACAATGAAAACTTTTATTATATAGCCTATATTCCAGGATAGAGTGAGGTGTCTAATTGGACAGCCCCCCCTAGATTGTTCCCATGCCCCTCACTTGGGGAAGTGATTATAAATGAAAGGTTGTTATAAGTTCAAATTGACTTTTTATGAGACCAGTTTTTAAATATGAATAAATTGTAAAGGATTTTAAAATTCTGCAATAATAATGATTGTTGATCATTTTCCTTCCTGGTTCTAAGATGTGGGAAATTCTTTAAAAGATATGAGACATCTCTCTCTATAACAGATCATTATGTAATTTATTCATTTGCAATTTTCTGTGTAGTTTCCTTAATAG